TCACTTGATGAGGCGATTATTCAATTTGCGGATGACGGATGGGGCATCAATGGCACAACAACTAAATGGACTCAACACAATCACAACTCAGTTGAGTTCAGTGGAAATTGAATTCGATGATGAAGTTTGAGCTTTAATTCTCTTATCATCTCTACCAGATAGTTGGAATACTACTATTAAAGCAGCCAACAGCTCGTCGGGAAATAGAAAATTAAAATTCGATGATGTTCGGGATCTGGTATTGAGTGAAGAAATTCGACGAAGAGAATCGGGTGAAGCATCAACCTCCCCAGTCTTGCACACGGAGTCTAGAGGGAGAACTTCAGAAAGAAATTCAAATTGTGACAGATCGAAATCTAGACGGGGAAAATCCAGAACGAGAAAGAAAGATTTTACCTGTTATAATTGTCACAAGAAGGGTCACTTTAAAAGAGATTGTTGAGCATTGAAGAAAGATATTGGCGCACAGGATTCTGCCAACATGACAGAGGAGACAGGTGATGCCATGATTCTAAGCGTAAACAGTTCGATTGAATCATGGATCTTGGATTCAGGGGCATCTTTTCACTCCACCCCATGCCGAGAAATCATGGAGAACTATGTCAGTGGTGATTTTGGGAAGGTTCATCTAGTTGATGATGAAACCTTGAAGATCGTCGAAAAGGGAGACATCCGATTAAAGCTGCCAAACTAGACCACCTGGACGCTGAAAAGTGTGAGACATATTCCTAGTCTCAAAAGAAATTTGATTTCTGTAGGACAGCTTGATGGAGAAGGATATAGTACAACCTTTTCAGGATGTGAATGGAAGATTACCAAAGGAGCACTCGTCATTTCTCATGGTAAGAAGACTGGTACTCTCTATGTAACCTCAAATTTAGAGAATATCATTGCAGTAGCAGATGCTGATGGAAAATCAAACCTATGGCACCAAAGGCTTGGCCATAAGCGAGAAAGGGATGAAGACACTTTTGTCAAAAGGGAAGCTATCGGATCTAAAGAATGTAGATGTCGGACTATGCGAGGATTGCATCTTTGGCAAACAAAAGAAAGTCAGCTTTGCAAAGATTGGTAAGACATCCAAGGTTGAAAAATTAGAGTTGGTTCATACTGATGTATGGGGACCATCTCCAGTTCCATCTCTTGTAGGCTCATTATATTATGTCACCTTCATCGATGATTCAACAAGGAAGATATGGGTTTATTTTCTAAAGAAGAAATCATAAGTCTTTGATACCTTCAGAAAATAAAAGGCCATGGTGGAAAATGAGACTGGTCTTAAAGTTAAGCGGTTGAGGTCTGACAATAGAGGAGAGTACAGAAATAGGAGATTCAGAGATTTATACGCAAACAATGGGATCAAGATGGAGACAACAGTTCCCATGACACCACAATAGAATTACGTAGCAGAGCGCATGAACAGAACTCTGAATGAACGTGCCAGAAGCATGAGGATACATGTCGGATTGCCCAAATTTCTATGGGCTGAAGCTATCAACATTGCAGCTTACCTGATTAACAATGGGCCCTTAGTTCACTTGGATGGTGGAATACCAGAGGAAACTTGGAGCAAGAAAGAAATAAACCTTTCACACTTAAGAGTGTTTGGTTGTATTTCTTATGTACACATAAATTCTGCTGAAAGAAGTAAACTTGATGCCAAGTCCAACAAATGTGTCTTTGTTGGTTATGGTGGTGATGAGTTCGGTTACCGATTTTGGGACTACGAAAATCAGAAGATCATCAGAAGCAGAGATGTCATTTTCAATAAGAATGTGATGTACAAAGACAAGTCAACTGTAGAATCAAGCAGCTCCAATACCAAAGCTGAAACAAAGGAATTTGCTGAGTTCGAGGAGATTTCTGAAAATGATGTTCAAATCAGTCCTGAAGCAGTTCAAGAAGAACCAGGCACACCGGAACTAAGACGCTCCTCCAGAATTCCTAAACAAACCCAGCGTTATTCGTCTTCCTTGCACTACTTGTTGCTGACTGACAATGGTGAACCAGAGTGCTATGATGAAGTAATGCAGGTGGAGGATTCAGTCAAGTGGGAGTCTTCCATGAAAGATGAGATGGACTCGCTTATGTCAAATCAGACGTGGGAATTAGCTGAATTACCACCAGGCAAGAAAGCGCTCCACAACAAGTGGATTTATAAGATCAAAGAAGAGCATGATGAGAGCAAACGCTACAAAGCGAGATTGGTTGTCAAAGGTTTTTAGCAAAAAGAAGGTATTGACTACAATAAAATTTTCTCTCCAGTCGTAAAACTGTTTACAATCAGAATGGTGTTGAAAATTGTAGCTGCAGAGAATCTACATCTTGAGTAGTTAGATGTAAAGACAGTTTTCCTTCATGGTGATTTGGAGAAAGAAATCTATATGAAGCAGCCAGAAGGCTTCATAGAGGCAGGCAAGAAAAACCTGGTATGTAGCTTGAAGAAGAGCTTGTATGGTTTAAAACAAGCTCCTAGACAGTGGTACAAGAAGTTTGATAGCTTCATGAGTAGCAGTGGTTTTACCAGATGCCAAGCAGATCATTGTTGCTACATCAAGCGGTTCGATAACAACTTTATTATTTTATTATTGTACGTTGATGACATGCTCGTTGCAGGCTCAGACATGCAAGAGATTATAAACTTGAAGCAAAAATTGTCGAAGTAGTTTGCTATGAAGGATCTGGGCGCTAAAAAGCAGATTCTTGGGATGAGGATCAAGAGAGACACAAAGTCGGGGACTTTGATGTTATCACCGGCTGAGTACATCAACAAAGTATTCTCCAGGTTCAACATGCAAGATGCTAAACCAGTAAGTACACCTTTAGGTGTTCATTTTAGACTCTCCAAAAAACAATCACCAAAGACGGAGGAAGAATGTGCACACATGGTGAAGGTCCCGTATGAATCAGCAATTGGAAGTATGATGTATGCCATGGTTTGTTCCAGACCAGATATTGCTCATGCAGTGGGAGTTGTTAGCAGGTACATGAATAATCTGGGCAAGGTACACTGGGAAGCAGTCAAATGGATCCTCAGTTATCTACGGGTACCACAAACAAAGCACTTTATTTCAAAGATGGAGATACGATACTGACAGGCTATGTAGATGCTGACTTAGCCGGAAATATCAACATCAGAAGAATCACTATAGGGTATGTCTATACTCTAGGAGGAACTGTAGTGAGTTGGGTTTCTCAACTACAGAAGATAGTTGCTCTCTCCACAACTAAAGCAGAATATGTCGCTGTTACGGAAGCCAGCTAGGAGATGGTCTGGCTCTAAAGTTTCTTAGAAGAGTTAGGCAAGAAACAACAAAACAATGTCTTGTATTACGACAGTCAAAGTGTTATCCATCTAGCAAAGAATCCGTCTTTTCATTCCAGGATGAATCACATACAATTGCGATATCATTTTATCCGGTCTCTTCTGGAAAATGGGATTTTGAAACTTGAAAAGATTAGTAGAGCTCAAAATCCGGCAGACATGTTGACAAAGACAATGACTACAGACAAACTGAAGTTGTGTTCAACTTCATTTGGCATGCTAAAATAACAAGACCATAAATGTTGTTGCATTGATCGAGGTATGAAGACAGATTAAAATCAGTCTTCAAGTGGGAGATTGTAAAGTCAAAAGGGAGGCCACCGAAATGGAAAAAGGGAAGGCACAACACACATGCAATGGGTTTTCAAAGTTTGGCACCGCACTTTCAAATTGGTTTTCAAAGTTTGGTATATGTCTGTTGAAAATGATAATGGGTAAAATCACATTTAGTCATTATACTTTAGGGTATTTATAAGATTAGTCCCTAAGCTTCAACTATAAATACCATAACCCATTTAGCTTCAAAATCATCCCAAAATCATTTCTTTCTCCCAATACTAGAGAGTTTTCTTGTGAGTAGTGAGTGTTTTGTAAACACTTGTAAATTTTCTCTCTTAGTAAAAGATCTGCAACAGTCCGGAGACGTAGGCACAATTGGTTGAACTCCGTTATTAATTTTTCGGGTATTATTTTTCTGTTTTTATTTCGCATTCTCAATAATCTGGTTATAGGGAAATTACTTGTTACTCGTTTATTTCCCAACAAACAAGCGTCAATTCAGAGATTAGAATTTGGATGAAGAAAAGAAGAAGATGCAGACAAATAGGATCCATTTAGCAGAGATTATTCTCGAAGTACATTGTTTCATGACAGAGAGAGGGAAAGGAGCGGGATGGAGTTGGAAATGTAAACAGGAATGAGAAGATTTATGAACAAAGTCTGAAGTAAAAGGTAGGTCAACTATTATCTCGCGTGGTCAAACTGTACCAAGTAAGATAATTTAAAGTGTCACGTTAGTTTTTTTGTTATTAGGATAACGAAGGTAATGATCGAATAATCGATTTATTATAAACGACAATGTTAATAATAATTTCGTTACTTTTAAAACTTTAATACTGAAATAAAATTGTATTTATACATAAGTGATTATTTATGTAATTTATCCTAAAATAAAATAAAACTATTAAGATTACAGAAATTCAAAAGCAATTTTTTAATTTATAAAATATTTATTAAAATTCAAATTTATATGGCATATGATATAATAAAAAGTTATTCCTCGTAACTCTAATTTATCTTCGTTACAATTTAATTGTTAAAATTGTCATTTTTAAAAGGAGAAGATAATTTTGAAAATGAACTTCCTCATAGAACTTCTGATTTTTCAAGTCAAACTCACAGACTTTGATTTTAATTTAAAATATTAAAATGTTTAGAATCAGATTATTTCAAAGTTCTAATGATAAATATTTTTAAATAATCTAATTTTCAAAAAAAATTATTGGTTGAACAATTTTTATTAGAAATTATAAATTTAGCTAAATATGATAAAATCTTTTCAGTTTCACCATTACATTACATAACATAAAATCCCCAAGATTTTACCATTTACTTTGAACTATTTTCTGAAGCACAACAGTTGATGACAACCATAGCTTTTATACTGATAAGTCTGTCTAGTCAATCCTCATTTTCTGATTTTGCTTTGATGATTTCTTCCTAGGAATACATTTCCCTGTTACTGACTTGTCTTTTTCCTTCTCTTCCACTGTTTCACCCACCACCTTGCACCTCCTGTTCAATCAATATCAACTTCATTAATATATCTGATATTTGATATTAGGATACTAAGATTCATCAAATTTTATTCCTACCAAATCAAGCTGATTTTTTTTGCATGCAACATTTTAAATTGCAGAATTAAACAGGAATCGAATGAAGTTCACCTTTCTTCATTGTAAGAATTGGATTTTTTTAGCATTGGTTCTGGTTTCTCAGAGTTCATGGACTCCACAATGCTGCCACTGAAATACTCCTTCTCTTCAGCCTGTAAGTTCCCAAACCTTGGATTCTCAGACAACTGCTCTATTATCATCTCATCGTCTTCAACAACCTTCTTCACCGCACACTTACAGAGAACCCCTCGATGCAAATTTTCTCCCTTCTTCACCACCGCTTTGTTTTGCACCACGGGTTGCTTCATAATGGCCACGTTCTTTGCTTTATTAACAGCTAAGTTCCCACAGGCAATTAGTTGAAGCAGAACTGAGCTTCGACTCGGTGCAGATTCAGTCCCGACTGGTTCATCATCTTCGAACCTAATGGAAGTGCTGTTTTTGCTTTGGTTTTGTTTGTCGTTGGAGGAAGTTGACAAAAGGGAAGAGTGTTGTTGAGCTGACTGGGAGACTGTTTTAGGGGGCTCTTGTTGGTCTTCAAGTTCATTGGTAGAAACCCCTCTGGAGCAGCGAGAGTGAGGAGTTGTTGAGCTTGTGTAGCATGTTTTCTCCTCGTCTAACTCGTATTCATCCTCTTTCTCTTCATCTTCATCGAAATCTTGCTCTTCATATGCTGAAGCCCTGTGTTGAGTCAAGGTTGAAGTTGGGGATTTTCGTTTGGTGTCTAGGCTTATGCTTGGTTCCTGAGAATGGTGAACCCTGTTTCTGATTTGCAGGTGCTCTATTATTTCTGCAACAGCCAAATTATCCTTGGTTTCTGTAAGAAAAATCTGGTAAAAAACACTACTTTCAAGGTAATTTAAGTGGATGATCACTAACCAGAGCAACCTGGAACTAATTCTGAGCCTTTGAGTACATATTCAGCACCATCTGATGGAGGAATAATGTCATTGTCTGTTAAGTCATTCCATACATAGCCATTCTTGTAACTCCTAATAACCGAACACTAAAATCAGTATAACAAATAAGAGCAGAAAATGATGATTTAATGGCAATGCAATGACAATGTACCTTTTGCAAGACCAAGAGTAAAGAGAAGGTATTCCTTTGCCTCTAAGAGCAGTGAGTCTTTCCATTACATCTACGAAACAACAAAAGAAATAATGCAAAGTTGAACCCTATTATAGACATAAGAGAGATTTTCAGTTTACCTCTCAAACAAAGCGGTTGATTGATCAAATGGGTGACTTCCATGTAATGAGGGTGCTCAAGCTGCCCATTTCGAGTGAGATAGTAAACAACTTGAACTTTTCTGATGGGCTTCAGCACTTCGGCTGCATGCAATGGCTGTTTTCTCTGCTTCTTCTACTTCTTAAATCCATGTTTCTTTCTTTCTTCACCTTCCTATTTGTTCTTCACTTGCTGTTGGTTCTTCAATGTCGACAAATCCTGAATGCCATCTCTTATATTGTTCATTCACTGCACGACTGGCAGACAGTGAAAGGGAAAGATGAAGAGGTTAAAAAAGCATGGTGAAAAGGTACTTATAACCAATTGAGTGAAACATGAAGCTGTCTGTTAAATGTCTGTGATTTTAACTGCCTTAATTACCCAGTGCTGCTGCACATGGTCACATGATGTCAGGAAACTTCGAAAATTGCAGTAACTGGTTAAGATAAGGAAGTTGTATGGCGAACAGTGTTTGGTTATTAGATTGTTGTTTTGTCTGAAGGGTTTTAGTCGCTGTTACTGTACTTACTGCTATGGCATACGTAAAATAAAAAAGCTACCTGCTAGACTTACTGCTAGAATTGGTACAACTTTCTTTTTTACTATGACTTACATGTTAGTACGTGTCGGTGAAGTTTTTATGAATTACTGTGTAAATTCACATCTTATTTTCTATATATATAATTTTATATAAAATAGTAAAAATAAAAATAAAGCTATTTTAAAATGATATTAACATAACTTCAAAAATATTTTTTTATTTACCATATTTTCTTTCAAGGGAAAATTCAATTAATTATTCCAAACGACTCTTTATAGACTAATTATTTGAAACAAGTCTTCATAAACTTGTATTATAATTCAACATTTCAGCTAGACAAATAACCAGATATATGGTATGAAAGTGAATGTCAAATTATCAAATATAGTTATAGTATGTATAAAAAATGATACGAATGTACTTAAATATGCATCATAGTACATTCAATACATGCATGTACTGAAACATGGAAGATCAGTTAGTCGAATCGAATTATAAGAGATGGTGCATTTTAAACACTTAAAGAGTTTCATGTTATCATATCTAATTCCACGAAAGTGGAACTTGCTCAAGAATGAGCTTTACATGAAACAGCTATAACAAGAGCGCCAAGCGATAGAGGTGGGAAAACACCATAATATACCAACCATAAACTATGCAACAAACCCTTACAACCAGTGCAGGCTCTCAGTATGTTCTCCAGCATTGCTCGCTGCTTCGACAGTGCATTTATGGGGGAACCTGTTTTTCCCAAAAGAATGCAATTAATATCAAGGTGTAAATACTTCTTATTCACCAACTTATCATGATTCTATTGAATTCCCACCATTCTATTCACATTCTTGTATTAAAGATGACATAAAGTTTACTCAATTTTGTCCCCATTTAGTTCAAGCAGTAATTTAATACCAACTTAATTGTCTAGAGTTAAAGGAAAAAGGCAAAAGCGTCCTTTTGGACTCACAAGAGGAGCCTTGGTGAGGTAACTGCGGATAGTAGCCACAGTGTGGAAAGAGTGGAACTTTCCCCGCAAAATGAAAATTCATATCAATCGATTGCATAAAAAATGTAACGGTCAACACAATATTAATCGATTAAAACATCGGCTTGGTCGTTATAGTAAATGACATCAAACATATCTCTCCTTCACCTTTGAGATGGATCCTGGTGCTAAGCTCAGCAAGAAGAACCAAATCTAGGATGATGGGAGCAGCCAAAAGGGTGTCCTCACATGTGTTGTGCAACACAATGGTGTTCTTGCCTCCCATGAATCTCTGATGTGTACTCATCCATTGCCCTCTTGCTATCTCCCACATACGGCACATACTACGATTCAAAACAGACAGAAGTGCACATTTAAGTCTCAGACAAAGGGCTTGGAGACCACACCATGATAGGTAAAGTTAATTACCTTGATGACAACAACATGGTCAGGATGTTCACCAGGCTCTTAGAGAATTCCATTACTTGAAACCATGTCATCAACAACATTGCTCTTTGATATCTCTTTCGACCGGAAGGTCTGGGGAGCTGATAGATTCATGCCATCATTGTTTCCTAGATGATTGTATCTCACTATTGATGAAGGCTGTCGAAGTGCTAACTTACCATCATCATTATTACAATTATCCATCAATGTCAAAGTATCATCTTTATTGAAAGATAAAGTTACGAAATCACATCAATCATGCTGCTAAGTACTTCCTATCTTACAAATTAAGGTGAAAGCTTTATAAAGTTAAAAAAGAATTGTACCTTGATACCAGCCCCAACAAGGAAATGCACTAGGACAGATTTCATCTTTGTCTGGCCACTCGTCATCTCCTCCAATCAGAGAGTTCCTCTGAATAGCCAAATCAATTAGCCCTGGACAACAACAAATAGAAAGCCCAAATAAATACTCATTTCTAAAGGGTTATTACATTTACTGATGTTATTTCAAAAGAAATAGGAATATACCAGGAACAAAGGTGTTTTGAGGGCTTCCATTGACAAAAGGAACATTCTCAAGAACAAAAGCAATAGAATACAAAGGGGAAGGAGAAATCTCTGCTACATTCTTCTCCAAAGAACCCATGAGGCTCTCCACGGTGTCGTTTAGTCCCACAATGACATTGCTGTACCTCTCAGTGTTTGCAGTCCAGAGGGCAACCACCTTGTCCACCTTGTTTTTCTCCTTCAATTCCCTGATACAACACAAGTTAATGTTAAAATGTTGAAAAAGTACAGCAAGAACATACCTTTTTCTAAAGAAAACAAAATGGAGAGTTGAATATTGTACCTGATGTCTTTGATGATTTGCTGAACTTGTTCTTTCTTGGTCCCCTTGAAGACGTTATTGGCACGGTCACCTTGGTTTGCAGCAATGAAATCTGGGTCGTAAATTCCAGGGAGTGGGACCATGGATTCCATCTAGGGCCTGAGCTGCTTTTGCAGATCAATGTCGAAGACCTTGGCCCTAGCCATTGCATCAGCTAGGTTCATGTCACTTATGTCCCATCCACCAAACACAATATCCTCTGGTTTCACCTGTATTAATTCAGAATTCCCTGATTAAAACAGACAACAGTATATAGAATAAAAAAACGAAATCTCAGTTCATCAGGTGCATACCATGATGAGAAGGCTCTTAAAAGGGGCATAAATCTCCTCTCCATTGTAAGATCCCACTCGGATCGTCGATGCCTGTGTCAGTGAGCCGAAGTAATTAGCTTGTTGCCCCTTGTCCTTGATATCCCAGGAGATTCCCGTTTAACAACCATTACCCAATTTCTCATAAATCAACAAACATATTAAAAAAAGACAAATTCAGTAAGACTAGAGGCGGGAAAAAGAATCTTACTCTCGATTGGCAATAACACCACCAGTCAGGGTTGCACCATTGTTTCCTCCCCATCCAACAAAAATCACCCTGGAACATTAACAAAGATTTAAAACAAACCCAGAAAAGAAAAAAAAACAAAAGAAATGATGGGAAGTTCAGATTCAAACCCTAGTTTAGGGACAATGATATCAGTCTGGAATTCATATTTGAGAGTCTTGGGTTTGACAACCCATTGGTAGGTTCCATCCCTGATCTCATGAACCAGCTCAGTTGTCTCATAGTTGTACACAGATTGAATCTCATTGTCAGTGTATTTCACATTTATTATAATTTTTAAATAATTAATAAGAATTGATTAAATAACTTAATTTTATTATATGGGAATCAGATTTATTATATATTTTATACCATATATAAATTGTACGTATGACATGTTATTATTGATATACTTTTTTGTCGGGAATAGCTAGGATCGGTCAAACAGGTGTGAGGAGGAGGTGTCTTTCATGACAAGTGTGATTTATTTTAAAACGTGCTGATCTCATATTTTATTTTTCAAAAATTTATATTTATATTTATATTTAAATTAAATTCTTATTTTTTAAAAGAGTAAATATTTAGGTGATTATATCTAACTGTTATTAAAATTATTTAAAATAATATAAAATATTATATTAATAAGATATAACCATGAAATAATTTTTAAGAAATTCAAAATTATTATTATCGTTATCATCATCAAATAACAGAATAATGTTGAAGTAATAACTTATTAAAAATGGACACAATGACACATCGAATGTAAGGATGAACCCTTGTGAAGAACCCAACATTAATGCTAGCCTGCAAAACGACGTCATCTCTTGCTTGATTTTGGATGATGAAATCAAAGGTTGAATAGTGTAGTGATTATGATGTGAAACGCTTAAATTTGACCTGTGCCATTGACTTTCTCTTGGATCCTTTCAAAATATTGGTTAAATTCAAGTACTATTTTCATAGATAATAACAAATGAGTGTCCATTTTATAAATAAATTTTGAAATGATACCTTTTTAATAAAAAGAAAAAAAGTCTTAGCGGTGCTTACGCGCTGACCAGAGATGTGGTGTTATAATCAATGTTAGGTGAGTCCAATTTTCAACAACTTGACCCGTGTTTTTTTCATTCTTTTCATACGAATCAGTGTGGAGATTTACAATTACAACCCTGTCGGAGAAAGAAAGTTGAAGTAGAGAATCATATTAATTGAGGTGAACAATTTGAGTATCTATGCACCAACTTATTTTCATTTATCTCAATCAAAATTTGGATTTGGAATAAAAATCTCAAACGCATATCTTGAAAATAAAAATGTTGAAAATCAATGCACCGAAAGTGCATGGTTTGAAAAAAAAATTGAATTTTGTCAACAAATGTAGGCACCGAAAATTAGGTGTAGAATTTGTTGATTTTTTATATGGGCAAATTACAAATTCTAGTCACTAAAATTTAAGGTATTTACAAATTAATCTTTAAGCTTCAACTATAAATACCCTAGCTC